TCTTTGTATAGCTTTAATAATTTAAGTACTGTTGTATTTTTAAAACTTTGAGCGAAATTTTTCTGATCGAATTCAATGAAAATTTTTTATATACCAATTCTGCAAATTGATTGGCTGATTTCCAACCATTTGTCATGTGATTTTTTCAAATCCGATAACCTCTCAAAACCGATACAGAACCCGTCCACCATGCATACCGGTTTTGAGAGGGCCAACAGTATATGCCTCATGTGACTTTTACTTTACAAATTTATTATTAACCAACTAAAAACTACCTGTCTTTAGACGGGTAAAAACACTGATTTTAGATTAGCGCAAGAACAAACTTTGTGCAAAATATTCAATTATACAAACTAAAATACCTCAGTAATGTTTATCTGATTGGACATTTCATTCTTTGATAACTTTACCTTTAGACTTCGGTTTTATATTTATTTTACGGGTTTCATAAAACAGCTAAAATATTGAAATAACAATATTTGAATGATCTATTACACGACATTTATTTAAGATAACCTAATAAAGAAAAATAATGAATTTCTAAAAAAAAAGGTTTACATTCAAAATATTTAATACATGTAGATTTCCATTAAATAAATATGACGTACATTACATTTTAATAATTATAAATTTTAAACTCACGTACGTACGTACATCAATTTAAAATATTGAAATAACTATAATTAAATGTTCATCCAACTATTTTTATTTTACTTTAAATTAGAAATATTATTTGTTTATTATTTGTTTCCTTCAGTTCTTTAATAGCATTCTCAATTCGTGCATAGTGGTCTTCTTCTAATTCTTTAATTCGTTCATAAATTCTTTCAGCTCCTTAATGTCCCTTTCTATTCGTGTATTATTGTCTTTTTGCAACTTTTCAATATTCTCCTCAACTTCTGTAAGAGAGGGTTCTTCTTCAGGGAGTGCAAGAACTTCGTAAAGATTCTTCGAGATCTTATTATAACCTGACCAAATATTATTTTGAATATCCAATATATGCTCACGAAGTTTAATTGTGTGGCATTCATAAAAACTTTTAATATAAAAATATTTAGTACTAGGAATAAGTTTTTGTTTTTGCATGTAGTTAAATAACTTACATAACATACGGAAACCAATTCTCACATATATAATAACTCTATTTCTTCTAGTATCTATATAATTAATAAAAATCTTAAAAATGTAAATATAAATAAATATAAATATAAATATAAATATTAATACAGTTTATAAACGTTATACCTCGGCTCTTAGAATTAAATATGACTCTTTTCCAGTCTTCTCTAGTAAAATATTTAGCACTCCGATAAACAAATTCATTAAATAAATAGTTGCCACAAAAGAAAATATGATCGTTAAAATAAGTAAAGCGGGGTTATCAGATAAATTCCAGTTGGAAATTGGTGTTGTGTCTCCTATCCAATTGTACGTACGCATTTTAGAAGTTAGTATCAAAAAAAAGCATATAAAAAGTAGAAAATCGTTGCTGATGATACTAATAACTTTAGAAAAAAAATAATAATTGGGATTTCACCTGTTAGCATAAGATAAACAGCTGAAATTGCTGAGCCCATCATCATAAACATATTTTCAGTCGTGGCTTGGGGCTCAGTAAATAAAGAGTTGTCTCCAATTGCACCATTAGCATTCATAGTGTTGTAAGTTGTACCTGAATTCAGCGGATCGTTCTGAATAGTGGAATAACGCAATAAAAGGTGGAATGAATGTGCAAAAGCTAATACAATAAATCCTAATATTATCAAAAACGAAAATCCTCCTCGAATTACTTCAAGTATCATAGAGAAGTAAACACCAGAAAATTCAATCGCACGAAAGAATAAAAGAAATTTAATTTCCAAAAATAAAGTAGCAAATGTCGCCATTTCTGTTGGCATAACATTACTTTGAAGCCATATAATTGACGACACCATTGGCATTAAAAATGCGCCTAAATCTTTGTTTATGAAACCAATATATATATATAATATTAGTCATAAGATGATAAAAATTAACGTTATACATTAAGTTTATATTACCAAAAAAATTCCATAAACTAGATACATAGACTGATGGTGAGAGAATAAATTGGCGTAATTCAAAAAATAAATGTAAAATTCCAAGATTAATTGTTATATTTAGAAGAATAAATAGACTAGTTTGAGAAATACTTTTGTAATATGTTGCTGCATATATGAAACTAAAAAGAAAAGCAGTATAAATTGCCCAAATCACATAATAATATTTTCTTCCATAAGTATTCCATTTAAATCTAAGCAGTGCTTCTCCATTTAAATATTTATAAAATTCTTTACTTATTAATTTAAGCTTATTAGAATATGTAAACGAATTGGGATTAGGAAACAATAGTTCTTTCCAAAGATTATAATCTTTTGGATAATAAACGAAGCCTGGCAGAGGAATTGCAAGTATTGTTGAGCTATTACCTACATAATCCAAGTTGAAAATTGGTTTTACAATGAAATATCGAAAAAAAGGATGACTTTCTTGAAATCTAATCCAATAAATCCAAAGATTAGAAGTTAATATATCAAGAAATGATGTTTTAGATAAAAAATAGTATTTTCCATAACTGGAAAGGTGTGGAGAACTGGAAGTTGGAATTACAATATTAGAAGAAACTACCAAAGATAAAATATTTGCTATAAATATAGGATGATTCTCTGATAATACTTTAAAGTTTTCAAAAATAATACTCAACAAAGAAATTTTAGAAATCGAATGATTATCATCTTGCAAACACTTATCTGCACAGCTGTTGCCTAAATACCTAATCCATTTATCATCCTTTAGTCTAATAAATGTTTTCATGAGAATGTTTCCGTAGCAAGTTAAATAAAATTCTTCAAAGACATTCTCTTTCAAAAATGTCTTGAAAAGTTGTATTTCTTCTTTGCCAAATTTAACATCTAAATTTCTATGGATTGTTTCATAACTTGAAGCAGGAAGAATTCTTTCTGAAGTCCAGTCATCAAAAAAAATTTTTTTAAATTTTGCCATTTCAAATTCGAACTGTTCTAAACGACCATTCCAATAATTCCAGTAATAATGCATCTTAATGATCTTAATGTCACCCAACTTAAAGTCAGATTTATATGACCAAATAAATACCCAATACGTGTAATCGTAATGAAATCATCATTTTCAAGAACTTTACAATGTAGTATAAAATTTTTCCCATTAGGGTAAAATGATGGAAGAATATCCAGAATCTTTTTTTTATTATATGGATTCCATTTTTTCTTGCGATGATTATAATCAATTACTGTAAGTTTAACTGATTTATAGATTATTTTGACGACTTCTATTTCTTCACTCAGTTTATCGGCGATTTTTTCTTTCCGTTTATCGGCGATTTTTACTTTCCGTTTATCGACGACTTCTACTATTTCTAATCCCCATTTTAAAGATTTCCCTTCAAATTCCTTTTCCTTATATCCCCATTCCCATTTTAAAGATTCCTCTTCCCATTTTAAAAATTCCTCTTCCTGTTTTAAAGATTCCTCTTCCCATTTTAAAGATTCCTCTTCAAATTCTTTTCTATATTCCCATTTTAAAGAACTCTCTTCAAATTCTGTTCTGACAACACTATATAGCGATCCTAAAGGTCCCTTTTTAAATTCATCTCTGCCAACCCATTTTAATAATTCTCCTTCAAATGCTTTTCCGTCATAATCATAATCATCAGTTGTTTTGCTACTTATAATTTTATTTATAATATCAATTGTCTTTTTAGACGGAGTTGTAATGCTATTTGTGTCCATCAGTTCTTTTCGTAAGTATTTGACCCAATCACCAGAATTATCAGGCACTAATTCGTCAATTAAAACTTTTCCGTCAATTGTATAAATTATTTTATCTGATATTTCATCCGATTGAATTATGTATGGTTTTTGAATGTGAATTTCATTCCTTGTTAAAAGAGCACCCGCATCTATTGGATTTCCGAGGTTATAAGGGTCCATTAAATTAAATTGACCGTCTTTTGAGATATACAATAATCTTTCTCCTTTTCTAGAAGCGATCAAATGGATTCTATCTATTTCCAATATTGTAGTAACTTAAAATAAAAATCAAAATTTAATATAAAAGGAATATAAATTATAGATGATAATTGTTTATATTTTATATAAAAACTTACATGATGACAGATTTATTCTAGTTTCTGTGGAAAAAGTGTAAACATATGTGATCTTAGTTTCCTTATTTCTTGTGCATACTAATAATAATTCTTCATCATCGCTAATTTCAATAGATTCAGGTGTAAAATGCCAATCTATTAAAATACGAGTCTTAATCGATAATTCATCAATGTCCCACATCGTGATCTCATAAATCGTATCATTAAATATGATCAATTTGCCTTTAGGAGTAATAAAAATTTTTTTAAAATATTTTAGCTCAATCATTGATTTACAAACCCAGGTAATATTATCTTTATTTGAAAAAACATATCCTCTGTAATATTTAGTATTGACCATTACAATATTTCCGTTATCAATAAAGGATAAGAAGTCAATTTCATTTTGCCAATCTGGAAATTTTAATAATACTTCGTTTTCAATTTCAAAATCAAAAATTTCTAGAAAAATATACAAAATGCAATTGAATTTATTAATTACAATAATATTAAATTTATACATAACTTACTGAAATTATAAGGTTTGACTCTATCAAAACTGATCGAAACTTGTCTATTATCTGAAATTGCAAATATTCTTCCACCATTTTCTGTTGTGTAAATATTGCCAATATTGAATATTTTTTCATTCTCTAAATGATTCCCTTGATTATTAATAGCCCAAAGACTAATATTGCTATCTTTGTCTAATGAAGCAGCATATTTTAAGTGAGGCGAGCAGACAATTTCCAAAATTTTTTTATTTGCATCCTCGATTGGAATTTTTACATGATAATTATCTGATTTAGATGTCATCTCTAATTATCTTTGATAGCAATAATGAATTTTTCAAATAATATTTATAATGGTAAGCAGATGAAATTCAATAAAAACTTTAAGCAAAGGTTTTAGCATATTCTAAATTTTGAAGATTCGAACTAAGCCATAACCTGTTAGTAAATATTTAAAAATATTTTGTGGCAATGTGATATTATTTCTGACTTAACATTTCTGACGTCTGACGTCTGACCCATGACTCTGAAATGAAAGATTTGTAATATTTTAAATTTAATTCTCAATTTATATTGACTTGTGCCATTTGTAAATTTAAGAACAATATACACCACTTTACGCTTGGTAAGCCATTTATTTCTTTCATTAAAAATGGTTTAAAAATAGATTTTTGATTATTTGGCAAACTTTTTCTGAAAAAAAAATTCAACTGGCTCAGCATATTTTACTTAAGGATTTCTAATTTATCGCAAGTGTGCAGGGCTGAATTTTCTATGCTTAATTATACGTATCGCAAATTGTGTAACAATCATATAACACAAGAAAGTTAAACTTCTAGTAAAGAATTTATCAAAAATGTGAAGAAAAAAAGAAAATGCATTATATAACCAGAAAATTTTAAAATACATCAAGAACTCTAAATATCAAGTGCAACCGATACTAAATTTGGAACATTAAAACTACTAAGTTGATAGATTAATGTGTAATCGCTTGATATTATTAAAATACTATAATTCCCTACGCTTACAACAAAAGAAATACTTAATTAAGTTTTTATTATTATAATATAAAAGTTAGATGTAATATAAAAGCTTAGAACAAATGAAACATCTTCCAAGATTATAAATTAAAAACTATAGTTGATACAATCCAAGTATACTACAATTGGGAAGTACTAAAACTGGTTAAATTTGTTAGCCATATTTAATAAATATTCTTTTTATAGCATTACATAGAACTTTTATAATAGGAAGGGCCTACCTATATTGCTCTGAAATCAGAGTTTTCGAAAGATGGTTTACTCATATAATTAAATTCCTGACTGTCTCGATTTGAAGTTTGTTTACCATTTAACAATATGCAATAATACTGTAATCCTAATTTATAAATTCATCATGTAATTATTATCACGTAACCGAGATCATCAGCAGCGTTCAGATGAACCAGTAAAGTTTACTCAAAAGCTCTGAAAAATTAAAAATATAGCAGTTTAATCTTTATAATTGATAAATTGTTTACATACGTACGTACGTACGTCTCAAAATTGGTCTTGGTCATACCTACCATATATACCATATATACTATATATGCCATATATGCCAGATATGCAAGATATGCCATATATGCCAGATCTTGTAGATATTGTATATCGACTAGATAGAGTAGAAATGTCAGAAAGTCGTTAATAGTGGCAAAACATGTATATAAAGAGTCCAAAACGTATCTTGAATAAAATAACTGAAAGAGTTCCAAAATATGACACTCGATTCTACTAATTCCCCCCGATAAGCAAAATTTGCCTTTACGATAGAAATTAGTGACCAACTCCCGTGATTCTGAATAAGGAGATTCGTGACGTAATCAAGAGCTCTAATCCGACACTATTGCTAAGAACCCAATTCACCCTGGTTACTCGGACCAAGTCTTTCCACGCCTCGATCGTTGCCTTACCACTACTGGGAGTTTGGTTGTATTAGTTGTGGTGTTCTGGTTAGATTAGTTTAGTTGGTTTTAGTATTGTATAGTTGTATTATCCAAAACCGGTTCATTTTCCCCTTTTACAACGTACGTACGCACGCCATTTAATTTGCAATATAACCATACACTCAATATCACTCCGTTCCTGGTATCTCTAGTTAGAGCTTTAACCTTAGATGCTATAGAAAAAAAGATTAACACTCATTACGTGTAAAATTTCATTCCCGACATTTTTAATTAATGAACCAAGATCGATTTAGGTCGCTCTCAAGCGCCTCAATCAATGAGTCAAAAAATGTCGGGGAATAAATGTTACTTAGCGGAAAATATTTAAAATTAATTAAGCGTGTTTATCATTACGATGAATAATGCGTAAATTAATAAAGTTT